ATTAACAATGACCACATTCTGCAGGATTTATGCTAGTCAGCAGCTGTTGGCAACAAGCAAGGACAGAGGCAAGAAGCCTGCAAACATAAACCAAAATAATTTAAATGTTTTCTTACACTATACCCATCCTGAGAGAGTATGGAGTTTTTCTGGTTTTAAAAAAAGAAGGAAGCACACATCTAGTACCAAACTATTACATAAGATTTAAAAATAATAGTAACAAAAAAATTAAAAGAGGGAAGAAGCACGTCAGTAGTGGTCTTGCTCTTGTTTTTGCAACCAGGATATGCTTATTCTGGTGAAAATGACACAGAGTCTTTTGGACTTGTATTGTACAAGAGCACTGGTAAGGAAAAAATGACTTACCACTAGTGCGCTACTAGTTTGGAAAGTACTTGACTGATCGATCGATCTGCAAAGAAAAGAAAATCTGCTACTTTTTAATATGGCCACTTAAGAACACAGAGGCTGATTTGTACTTCTAAGAAAATTACTGTAGGTAAAATACCTTATCCCTTAAAGTGTGTATAAGAACTTCTTTATGCTAGTATTTATCTATACCTAGTACATCTAGACATTTTTGTTGATCTGTAAAAAGCAAGGAAATCCACGAAAAAGAAGAACTGAGAGGTCTTGCGTTTGGAAAGAGAGGAGCAGGATGGGAAGAACGTGGCAGCCCTAAGAACCAGGATTCCACCTCTCCATTCTCATATTCTACCAGAGAGAAGTCTATCAAGTGCCTACAGAAACTGTCTGAATTGGCCAAATTTAAAATCATTACACGATCACATTCTAGAATATTTATTCCTTTTAATCTTCCTACTTAATAGATCACAGTGAAATACTGTTGTATTTGTTAAGTAATTTCCACTCCACATGCAACTTCCATATTGCTGTGGAGGACCACTACTACAGATGAGTTTGGAGATCTTCAGGAAGTATACAGATAAACTGGAAAGATGGGCTACTTGCCAGGATGAAGTTTCTCTTTAATCTGAAGGGGAAAAAAATACATACGCAGTCCCTATGGACAAGTAGCAAGAAATGCAGTTGAGCCACCAGAATAAAGCATTGCCCAGAGAGTTCCCTTTAGACATGCCTGTTCGTAGCAGAAAGTATGGTGTAAAAGAAACATTTTTCAACAAATTTTTCTGAGCACGGTACTCAGTATGTCAGACTCCTTAGAGAATAACATACATTTCTTTAATTGGGCCTTTTACTTCAAAAAACCTGTAACTGCAGTAAGCGAGAACTGTGGTTAGTAGAAGCAGTGCATCAAAGTTCTTTTCTCTGACAGGCTGATTAAAGATCCCTGCATCAAGCAGCATGTTTCCTAAATCACTGGAGGCGTAAGAAGAAAACATCCTACGTCAGATATCAGAGTTGGGCAACATGGGATTAATACTGCAAAGAAATACAACTAATAATTTAAACCTCCAGAGTGAATGAAAGATTGTGAGAAGTGATTCAAAAGCAAAGCAAAGGAGAAAAAAAAACCCCACTTTATTTGTACTTAAAAACGACATCACACAGCAAATACCCAGAAAATAAAAAGATCACAGTCTGTGGCAGTGGTGCATTATATTTCTCCTTTTATTGTTTTTAGCTGTTTAGAAAATCTCCTGCAAGCAAATTTCAGAGCTGTCTTAACCCAGAGCACACTTTTCAGAAGAGCTCTAGGTGCTCTACAGAGATAAGGAGTAAGTCTATTTCAATGATACACGAGCAACATAAATTGCAGAAATGCAAACCAGTTCCTGCAGAATAGTCTGGTGAGGGCACTACTGAAGGCCTCCTTCTGCACCACCTGTCTCTTTGCCAGAGTTCCTCAGCACTGGCTCAGCACTAAGAGCAGCTTCAGATTCTTCACTTTTAGGCACTTGCATTCCTCTAACACTTTGCTAAACAGGAGACAACTCTCTGAAGAGGGCAATCAAATCAAGGAATTAATTCCCTACATTTGGCTTACACTGATCCAAAACATACCATCTGTGCCAACATAGTGAGACAAAAGAAGAATTTCCAGAAGCATAAAGTCAGAAACATGTCAAAGGAATCTTAAAGCAACACATACTCACTGCCAAGCGAAGTTGCTCCTATTCCAAGGACTGAGTGCAACTTAAAACGCCAAATAGTTTGTTTTAAAAAGGATTGCATCTGGCAGCAAAGTCCTCAAAGAGTTTTGAGGTTTTATTTTTTTTTTATAAAAGTAAATCTTACAAGCAAACCCCTCTGATCTCGACACGTACCGTTCTAAATCTAAAACCACTCCACGAGTATCACAATCTCATCTAACCTAAGAGAACGAGAAATGATCCTAACCACCTCAACTGTAACAGGTTTGAGCACCAAGAGATTTAACAAAATCAAAGGACATTAAAAAAATTTTAAGATTTATATTCTGAAGGACAGCCTAGACCTCACACTGCTGCATGCGCAAGAACACAAGCAAGCCCTTATGAAAAAGTTCAAGCAATTTTTGATTCCACTTAGAACTGAGTACACCATCATTTGTATCTATACTCAGTATTCCCTGTTTTACAAACTACAAAAAATGGATGTTAGTGAACCACACAGAAGAGAGAGCAGAATGTATTAGAAGCATATTCCACTTCACCAATACTATGGTCATAAAAGACAAAAACAGAAGCTACAGGAAGAAAAAGTTGACTTTCTGGAACTTCAAATTACTTCACACTCACATTTCAAGTAATACAAAAATAACATACATATCTATCAAAAGCATTTTAGAAGAGTCATAACTTCACTGTTGACAATGCCAGTAGTATGCAGTATCTTCTGTTATTAACTCACTAGAAGCTCTGAAAGTATTCAAAGTAAGTATTAGCAAACTGCACCAAAGTGTTACAAAAAAACAGCAGATAAAAAAAAAAGTGTCATAGATTAGATCCCTCAGAAAGTACTTTGAAGCTACATTTCAAAAAAAATATGGCTACTATTACTGAGAAGGCATTGCAACAGTGAGTTCACCAAAACTGAGGGCTAAAAGTCAGCAAATGACTAAAATTCTTTTTCTACTGCAAGAAGACTTTTCAGCCAGAAACTATAGGTGAGAACTTGATAGAGAAGGACAACACACTTCCAGAAAGTGCAACACAGCTCAAAGCAGCCAAAGCTTGGGGTGAGGCAGAGGAACAGTGGACAGAAACTGTCCTAAAGATCCTGCATGGATCCATCTGAATTGCATATGTCTGTGCGTGTAAACAAGAAACTCAAGCGTTCCAGAGCTATTTCAAGCTTCTTTAGTTAGCCACTGACCAGACCCTTGGAAAGTGTCCAAGACAAAAAGCTGAACCTACTAACAGGACTTCGACAGAGAACCCAGAATACAGAAGACTAGGCCAGAAGTGAGCTGAGTTCCAGCCAGGAAAAGGGAGTACTTATAACCCGATGGCCTCAATAAGAGATCAGGAACACTGTTCTGATACTGTGATCCATGTGTCGCTTTTCTTGCGGTGCTTCCAACCAGCCAGGCAGTCACACTTTCACCACATGAGGTCTCAAACACAATTACAGGCCAACTGGACTGCATTCTTCTTCAGATGGAAGAGCTGACACTTGAATCTTCCTCTGGTGGAATACAGATACCCATATAAACAAATTCTCTCTAAATCCCAGACATATAAATGCCTAATCCATTTCTGGAGAAACCACCAAAGAAGTTTGTCTGCTAGGCAAGTATTCGTAGATTTTCTATGAATAATAAGCAATTTGTTTTTTAAAACCAAGAGAGTAACCACTATGAAGTACAATAAGGTTTTTTGACTGTGTTTGAATTACTGTGTAGTTTTTCCTCTGGTACTTAACAGTGTTTATACAATGCCACAACTGTGACATAACACCCTGCTGCCATCATACACTTATAATCACCTTGACTATACACACAAAATCCATCTTTGGCTTTAGTCTATGTACACACAGTTAACACAAATGTTTGTATTTCATGCTTGGAGAATGTGGCTAATAACTGCAGGTTATATATTATAACTAGTTACCATTTTTAGTCTACGTATTTCAGTGACAGCTCAGTGGAAGAAAAAAACCAAAAACAGATTTCTGTAAATCCATGCACTATCCCTAGATTTGTCTTGGGGTCTTCTAGGCTTTACCATTATTATAAAACAGTGTTCAAAATGCAGCTGGTCTATTTTAGACCACACTATTGTGGATGAGTGGGTCTGGACTAACATTAGCAAGCTTAGGACAAAAATAAAGGTAGAAAAACTACCTTTTGGTATAATTCCACATACTCTGTGTTAAGAGTAACAGCATGCAGAGTAAGAAGCCCAGTATTCAAAAATTTCAAGACAGAAAATGGATACCACTACCACATTACTTATTAATTGTTAAACACATGCTATTTCAGCTTAGTTGCTGCCTATCCTCTTCAAAGCAAGCTTTACCTATATGACTTAAGCAATAACTGAGGCCTTAACAGAGATTTGGAATTTAAATTTAGCCAAATAAAACTTTATTTCATGTAATTTTATTTCAAAGTAAAAACTGAAATGAGACTTTGGGTACTCCAAGAGAAAATGATATTTGCATTATTAACTCTTCTTTGGAATCATATATAATTAACTATGCATGTCGTCAAAATGCATGGACAGTTTGGCAGAGATGGGACGGAATTCAGCTAAGCAGCTGGAGAGGAACATGGAAGGAGGCATACTACTCTAACAGCACAATGTTTCCAAAGACAACAATAATGGGACAGTCAGGCCACAAATACAGGAGATCATGTGAAAGCCCAAAATTTAAGTTTAGGTGTTTAAAAACAGGAGCCAATGCAATGCTCTCTTTTGCAACTCCAATTCTTTTCTTTATATTAAAACCTGCACATAGATCAGCCTGATTGCATTAGCATACTAATGCCACTTTAATGCAGCTATTCTGTTATTTATGTGTTTTTTAAAATTCAAGAAATGAAAAGACCTTGTGCCAGTACAACTACTAGATAACGAAAGTCAAGTACTCACGTTGTGAATAAAGCAGTATCTGAAATTCCAAGAGGGCACAGGTGAAGAGTTGAACCACATTTTCTACTCCAAGCAATTCAAAAACTTCTTTAACTGGAAAATCAAACAATGGTAGTTCACTGGTGCTTGGCCGCTGGCAGATAATTGGTCCATAAACACCTGAAAATTTTAACGACCTTCCTGCTGGAGGAAGAGGAACCTCATAGAGAATATTGTAGATGTAGCTTTCTAAAGGTAAAGGTGGTGGCTGAGGTGAAGTCACTGCTCGGTGAAGTTGTTCTAGTACTTTCTTACAAGCTTTCATGAAAGACATTGGAGTAATCAGACAGATGCACTTTGAGACATAGAGTGTGTCTCTGCTGATGTCATAGGAGTTAAAACGCTGTAGCTTTGAAATAGAAGTGCCATTGCAGTCTCCAGTGCTGCTACAGCTATCTTTGTCATTTGTGGGTGGAGTATGAAGTATGTCATACTCGGCATTGTGCATATGATACAGCGTCTGCATTGCACTGCAGATCTGTTTGCTAGTAACTTCTTCAAAAAAGGTGAGAGAAAATCCAAATGTCCGTGAGCCATCTTCACGAGTAATAATAAAAGAGTGGAACTGAGGTTCTCTGGAATCTGCTTGTGTCTTGAAAGCAAGCCCTTTAGGCATACACAGCTACATAAAAAAAAAGGGGGGGGGGAGGGAAGATAATATAATTTAAAACAAACTTTTCTCTTCCCTGGCCTCCAGAAGCATTGGTGAAAACAGCATTTAGAATCCACAAACTGCCATTGCATTTCACTTTAAATTCTATTAAGTGTTACATCTCTGTACAATACAATAATATGCATCCAAATCAGAAAAATATAGGAACATATTAAAAGGGCTGTATGCAGTTTCTGTTGAAACTCATAACCGTTTTATTACCAGCTTCAACAGGAATAAAATAACAGAATTCAAACTCAGGTAAAGGAAAGTATTTTGGTCGCTAAGACCAGAAACCTGACAGAGAAAAGTAGTACATTTTATCTAAATTAACAAACCACACCGTATTCCATTAAACGGAAAAATCATGCACAAAGAAGTTTCATTAATTGCAGACTAATTTATTTCTCTTCCAATTCTCTACAATGTAACAAAAAAAGTTCTAAAAGAATAAAAAACTCTCCTAGGGACATAATCACTAGTAAATTTTAACTTAAGTTCCTTTATAATTATATATCCCAGTTAAATGAATAGGCCTTTTGATCCTGCAGAACTTAGAGAAATTCATTACTATTTCCAGTCTATAATAGACTTCACACTTTTTTTGTCAAAGAAAACACAGATGAAGGCCTTCAATTGTTAAGGTAGGTTTTTGACTCACAACCAAAAGCCATTAAGTGATACTGACCATTCCCACTGCATCCTGGTCAAAAGGGTTCCATTCAACATTCTCAGGATAGCGAGCAAGAACCTTGGATTTAAATGTACGTCTTAATGGAGTCTGTTCAAAGTTTTCCCCTGCAGGTGAAAGAAAAATACAGAAGTAAATATTTCATTCTCTTTTTAAGCTCAGAGAAGGCCAAAAAGCAGGACATCAGCAGGCAGATGCAAGGAATTAAGCACACACCCCTTTTAAGAGAAACTGAAAACGCAAGTTAGTTAGCATATAATCAGATTTTCAGATATTAGCAAGGATTAGCATTGTAACATTTCTATGTCGTTAAGTATCTGTGCTTTTCCTTAAGCACAAGTATCATGAGATTGTGGTCGTGACAGCAATTATCCGAGCTACTCTTCAGATATTTCAGACTCTTGTTAAAGCATAGCTAAAACTTCATTTTCAGTGGAATTCTGTTACTGAAGAAAAGCACAGGCAAGATGCAAAGATGATGCAAGTTTAAGATAGACATACAAGTGGCATCATTTAATTTCTTCAAGACTTAGGAAAAAAGAGTATCCACCACCTATTACAAGAAGTTAGCTGTGAAGATAGAGTCTAGAAGGTTAAAAGATCAAGAACCACATAAATGCCCATGAAGACAGGGTATCAAATGAACAAAAATTGTGCTTTTTTCTTCCCCACATTTTTTCCTTTACCTTCTGTTGCACTTGAAATGAAACGGCTGGCACCTTCTCGGGTTTTAGAGGCCTGTACATACTGGCATAAAGCTATATAACAAATAAAAACAACACCACATTATAAATTTCATACTCTCAACTGTAATTATGTAGCTAACACAAACAGGTAAAAAACATATTCTATACAGAATTAGCATGCATGATAGATAGTCTACTCTCTTAATATGCTTCATACAAATGTCTCATTTCAGGTTCATACTTCTCGAAGGAGATGATCAGCACATAACAGAAGGTCACGGTTTCTGTACACACAACCAGAATAGTGATGCAGCAACAGGAATTAGTTGCTTGTTAAATGAAAGCTTTACGTGTTAAACTACAAAATACTCCAAAAGAGCAGATGATGAAACTAACCTCAAGAACAAGGCCATTTTAAGGCCTTTAGAACTACATGAATTTAAGTGGCATGGTCCAACTTTTCACAGACGCTATCTATCTCGTGTGAGACTGGCTGATACAGTCTTGTTTATAAGCTCTCAGTTTTCCTCTAGAGCAATGATTGTTCATTGTGATAGCACAGAACTTTCTGCAGTAAATCTTATGTGTAGTTGCTTTAAAAAAAGGACACAATTGTGTATCTTAAAATAAGCTTAGCTATCTTACTGAATGCAATTAGCTAAACAAGCATGCAGCTGTTGACAGCTGCACTAAAAACCAGGCATAATTGCATGAAATCATATGCTTTAAATAAATCCTGCAAAAGAGAAAACAGTTCAACTCCTCACTTGTTTTCTTACATGCAGCAATTACACAGCAATAGTAATTTATTTCAGAATTGGCACGGTTTGTCCTGTACTTTTACAGTGATATTTAAAGTTCAATTTCTAAGCCAAATTAGAATCCTTATTTCGTACATTTACTTCCACAAAGTAGCCATGTGCAGAGATAGTTATAACACTGCCTATACACAATAAAGAACCTAACAAACACATTACACCAAACAAAACTTTGTTTCTATGGAATGCTTAAGAAGTCCTTTGACAGTTGAAGTCATGTAACACTGGATTTCCTTTAAAGCAAGCCTTAAATATTACCTCAAACAGGTAACTTATCCTGGTCTCACAGCACCCAAAATACTCACACCTATTTTGCTAATCCTCTGTGTTTTAGCACTGAAATTTAAGGAGGGATTGTTTTTCCTGTTTGTCTGAAAAATCAAGAGGTCAGCTGATTTTCGTACAAAACCACTCAGCTACATTATTTATTACTTTGTTCAATAACATCACTGTTCAGAGAGAAAAAAATGCATATTTGGGAAAAACTCAAAAGATGTATAGAGAGAGGAATAGAGGAAAAAAACAGAACACAACTTCACTGAAATACAACCATCTTGGGAACAAGCAGTCAATGACAGAAAACATAACAGCATTTCCGCAAGAGCTAAAAACAATCTTAGAAGATGAAAATAAGCATTTAAAGAAACTCTCAATCTCTCAGAAGGAAAAACTGACATAATGCCACATCTCTACTGACACAAACATATACTCAAGTAGCGAGAGTCCTCTGTAAAAGAGGTTTTAAAAATAAGCCAGAAGATTTAACACACCTATATGTGGCTCAGAGACTGGTGCCATCGGTGGAATTTTGTTTTCTTTGATCATGGAGAGGTTTACATGGCACCAGGCCTGCTGGTGACAGATGGACTCCAGCTGTCTCAAAGGGGAAAAAGGATTCTCGCCCATGAGCTGGCACGGCTCATCGAGAGGGCTTTAAACTAGGTTCAAAGGGGACATCACCCAGCTCACTAGAGATGAGCCCAGGCATGGCATGCCGGGGTTGGGGGTGAGATTGACAGCCCAGCTCAAGTGCATCTACACCAATGCACACAGCATGGGCAAACAGGAGGTGCTCGAAGCCATCGTACAGCAGGACAGCTATGACATGGTTGCCATCACAGAAACATGGTGGGATGACTCTCATGACTGGAGTGCTGCGATGGATGGCAATAAGCTCTTCAGAAGGGACAGGCGGGGAAAGAGAGGCGGTGGGGTGGCTCTGTATGTTAGGGACTGCTTCGATTGTATAGAGTTCAACGATTGTGATGACAAGGTTGAATGCTTATGGGTAAAGATGCGGGGGAAAACCAACAAGGCAGACATCCTGCTGGGAGTCTGGTATAGACCACCCAACGAGGATAAATAGGCAGATCAAGTTTTCATAGAATCACAGAATGGTAGGGGTTGGAAGGGATCTTAAAGATCATCTGGTTCCAACCCCCCTGCCATGAACAGGGACATCTTCCACTACACCATGTGGCTCAGAGCTCCATCCAACCTGGCCTCGAACAGTTCCAGGGAGGACGCATCCACAGCTCCTCTGGGCAACCTGTTCCAGTGTTTCACCACCCTCAGGGTGAAGAATTTCTTCCTAATATCTAATCTAAATCTGCTCTCTTTTAGTTTAGAGCCGTTCCCCCTTATCCTTTCACTACACATCCTTGTGAAAAGTCCCTCTCCATGCTTCCTGTAGGCCCAGTTCAGGTACTGGCAGGCTGCTATAAGGTC